AAGCAACCTTGGCACAACAAACCAGGTCAAATCTACATAATCTCATTACCGTGCCACTCACGCTATGATTACTCAGAAAGAAAAAACAAGTTTATTAGAGGTGATGATGATCTTGGAATAGAGAGAGAAACAAAAACAAACTTACAACAACACAACCTTTTGTCTTGTTCCAGGAGAGGCAGACTGAGGAGTGCTTGGCTGGGTGACCAGCCCTCTGAGAAATGTAGTCCACAGGAATTCCCGTCATGTGCCCAGCCCTATCACTGTTCTTCCCTGGGTCTTAGCTTTCTGAAACTTTTGAGTTCCTTTGGTATATGGTTACTCTCCCTAAGAAGGCGGCAGCACAATTCTCACCTGCTTCCTTCAATTCTTGCATGACCTATTCTTATGTGTTGTCCTTCCTGTTTTCACCAGAGTCAGGTGTATTTGTTTCCTCGCTCTGTCGCGGCTAACACTGCTTTCCTCTGGTCATGGAACAAAGAAATCCAGCTTCAAGCTAACTCTGTTCTTCTCTGAGAATTTTATAATCTACCAAAATCAAGACAGTATCCCAAAATAATACATTTCGGTAAACCTAATACATTCTGAGTGTGTCATCTGGTGACGAGACTTCTTCCACTATTTTGCAAAGTAACCCCCAAAGACAATATGTTCTTAAAATAAGTATTTTTAAAACAAAAAGTATGAACATTTCTAACATTATTTTGGGTTTTTTAATATAAAATAATGCGTGACATTTGTAAAAAGCCGAATGATACAGAAATATCTGTAACACAGGAAGCCTCCCTCCATGAGCCTCACTGAATTCTGCTCGCCTCCAGGGGTACCCTTTGTGAACAGCATGCTGTTCATGCATCAGCTCTCCCTCTATGCATTTTCATCTGTATTTCACACACACATACAAACACACACACACACACACACACACAATATAAACATAAACTTAACTTCAATGAAGTATTCTGTATTTTTTTTCACTTAACACATCCTGGAGACATTTCCCTGCCAGTAAATATAATCTAAATTCATTCTTTTTGTCAGCTTCATAGAGTTCTATTATATGACCACACCATGATTAATGGCATAGATGTGCATTTAAGCAGTTTCTATTTCTTTTTTTAAAGCATTGCAAAAGAACCCCAATGAGAATTCTTTCTGCACAAATGTCAACATTCCTATGATGAAGCCCTATATATGAAAGGGCAGATTCAAAATTCAAAAGGCGAGATAGGTACACCTGCCTTCCACGAAGGATACACCAATTTACACTCCCACTCACAATGCTTGATAATGCCTGTGTTCCCACAGCCTCACCACTCCTGAATTCTAACTCTTTTTTTAATCCTCACCCAAAGACATGTTTTCATTGCTTTTAGAGGGAGAGGAAGGGAGAGAGAGAAACATTAATGCAAGAGAGAAGCATAAATTGGTTGCCTCTTGTACATGCCTGGACAGGGGATCTTACAATCTGGGACAGGTATTAAACCCTCAACCCAGGGATTTGCCCTGATAATCCAACTGAGCCAAACCAGCCATGGCTATATTTAACTGCTTAATATCTCAGTATCAAAGGATAAAAAAAGATATGCCTTTTCAATTTGTATTTTCCTGAAAACCAGTGAAATTCAGCATCTGTTCACTTGCATTTATAGACCTATGAATTTTCTGTGTATTTCATTACTCATTCTTCCTACTGCCTTACTCAAATTGGTTTATAGAAATGCCGTAAATTATGGCTAGTTATCAATTTTAATTCTTTATATACAAATATTTTCTCCTAGTCTGTTGCTTATCATTTTACTTTGCTTATTATTTTTTTTACTGTAGAGAAGTTGATATTTTTATGTAGTCAAATGAATTATTGCTGGTTCCGTGCCTAGCACCGAATTACAAATAATTTTTTATATTTTATTTCAATACCTTCATTGTTTTTTCCTTTTACATCAAGATTCTTATTCCATCTCAATGCCCCATGTTCTGTTTCCACTCTTTGTTTTTGTTTACTGAATTGGAGTTACTCCGGGTTTCTGTTGGGAAGAATGACTCATTACTGTAGCGCTTTCCCAGGGTGTTTTGGGTTAAGGTATCTTTTGCTCTGGTTTCTGGAAATGGGATCCATCTGCTTGCCAACCTCTAGTCAGTCTTCACCGGTAGTCCCTTTCTTGCTAGCACATTGTTTCTATTCATATTTTTCTATCTTCCCTTTCATTTCAGTGGAATTTTGGAAGAAATAGGCTATAAATGCATATGCTTAGTCTATCATCTTAAATGGGAATGTCTTAGTATGCTCTAAGGAAGATTTTGCTATGAAATAAATACATGCACATAATAGAAAATTTGGAAAATACAAAAAGGCAAAGAAAAATAAAATCAACCAAAATTCCACTATTTGATAATAAAAAATGCACAGATGTTGGTGAATTTACTTCTAATACTTCTAGTGCATATAAATATAACTGTCACCAAAATGTAGGATCATATTATATAGTTTTGCACCATGCTTTTTAAACTCACATTATGTTCAAAGTATTTTCCTATATCCTTGAAAAATGTTTCATAAAAAATGATTGTAGAACACTCCATCTGCACATATTTCTTAGAAATTAATGGTCAACTTATTTTTTAATTTTTATTTATTGATTTTAGAGAGAAAAAGAAGAGGGAGAGAGGGAAATACCAATTTGTTGTTCCACTTATTTATACATTTGTTGGTTGCTTCTGGTATGTGCCCTGACCAGGGATCAAACCCACAACTTTGGCCTATCTGGATGATGCTCTAACCAGCTGAGCTACCCAGCCAGGGCAATGATCAATTTATTTTTTATTAATATACTTATCTCCAGAAAGAGTAATACATTTCCATGATTCAATACAATCAAAAGTCTCTTTTCCAACCTCTGACTCCTGGTGATCAGTTTCCCTTCCTGAAATCAACAAATGGTAGCCAATTATGTTGTAAAGATAAAGCCCCATAGGTGGAATTGGGTAAGGGGGCACATAACTTTCTAGCTCCTGATAAATACTTGCTCTCTAGGAGTATATAATCTATACCACCCCCACAATGAGGCCATTATCTTTCTTTTAATATGTATCAGTTTGGAAGGCAAGAAATGTTTTCCCTAACTAAGAATGAAATTTGAGCATATTTTTCATACATCATTAGCCCATTCTGCATCTTCTATCATAAATTAATTGTCTGTTCCTAGCCTTTGCCACAAACGACCCTTTAAAAATACTTTCTTAGTTTTCAGGATTATGGTCAATCCACTGAGCTTTCCCAACATCAAGGATGAGATGAGTAAGGCCTTCTCCAAAGACCAGGGCTCTAGTTCCCTTTAATTACATCATCAGTGAAGCCCCATTGTTTTGTACTCCTATTTTGTTTTAATGAGATTTCTAATAATGCTCAAGATTTCTTTCTTGAGGTGTGCTCTGAACTTCTGACCAGGAAGTAGAGCGACAGCCCAGGATTTTGCTCAGAGAATCCAAGAAGATGACTTAAGGCTGGAGTTCTCCAATGTCCACCCATCCAAACTTTTGCAGGCAAGCTGTGCAGCCCAGAGTCCATTACCCAAATTTGCTGTGCCTTAGTCACTCTCACTCCAAGCTGCTGCTCACCTCCACATCTTGACCCATTTTGTCTCCGAAGTCTGGAAGGCCCTTTGGGCCCAGCTACCTCTCTAGCTAAGTGTCCCTCTTCTATGCACAGGGGTGCTGGGATGATGTCTATCATCCATGCATGTGCAGTTCGTGAATGTGTCTCCCCCTCGCCCCTCAAAAGCTCTGTAGTTCCCTAGAGTCATGTACAAAGCTCTCCACAGCACACATCCCTGGGTGATGATCTCTGACCTGAAACCAGTGTACACACACCTGCCCCATTCACCTTCCAACAGCACAGCTACTCAGGTGCTTTCCACAGTTGGCCACAGTTGACCACAGCTGGCCACAGCTCACCACTTCCTGCAGAATACAAATAACCTCCTAAACACTGAAATGACATTCAAGGCTCTCCCCTAAACCTGTTTTTCCAGGCTTCCACAACCTGTTTCTTCTCACAGCCAAAGAACAAATGTGCAGCCCTCACACACCCAGGTCCGACCCAGACATAGGCTGGCCAACACTGCTCTCCTCTGAACCTTCACCACTCGTTACTTACATGCATCCCATCAATCTTGGGTGAATTCTAAACTCAATCTTGCCCTTTATTCCTCATTTCTCCTTCAATACCCCCAAGTGTATTGACATTTCAGTTCCTTACGCCATCCATCAATTCCGCCCTCTATTACAAGCACTCAGTGGTGAGTTATGCTTATATTATACTATGATTAGCTAAGAGTAAGTGATTTTTATCTTTCTTTCTAGGCTGATGTGGCATTGCTGTATTTTCTGGATCACTGTACACAGAGATGTTAAAAAACTATTGATCGGATCAGAGTGCACTGCTGACTTTTCCTGTTTTTTCTCGAATTCACCTTGTTGGAACAAACTTTTCGCTAAGACCTCCCGTCCTCTGCCTCCAGCTAGCTCCACACCCACTGACGCCCGCCCGCACCCCACCGGCTGCCAGGACGCTCTGCCACACCCGCACTACTTACCTTCACCGGGTCAAAGAAGCTGTTTATCTTGATCCCAAGCGGGAGTCAGATGCTGCTGCACAGCAGGCTGCACCGGCAGAGCTGGCTGCCTCCCCTTTGTTCTCTAATACAACGGTTTCCAGCTTCTGGGCTGTGCTTGAAAACACCTGGGGAACTTTTAAGTGCAATTACCTGGGCCCCCTTCCAACTAAGAAATTCTGATTTAATAATCCAGGGAGTAGACTGGCTATAAGAATTTTTTTAACGTCCAGCGAGCGGGAGGGGCTTCTTATGTTTGAAAGCCTGACGCGCGCTTCAGGTCTTGGTGACCTAGTTTCCAGCTTCTAAATCTGGGCGCGGGGGAGAAAAAAAGAAAAGAGAGCCGCCCACTCGGCCCTCGGGCCCCGGACGGCCCCACCCTTTGGGCGGGCGCGGCCGACCCGCCTTCGGAAGTAATCTCCTGTCGGTGCCGGAATAAGAGCCTGAGCCTAAGTCCAGCTGCGAGTCAGAGACCCGGTGCCGAGGCAAAGGAGGCCAGTTTCCCGGTCAGCAGCGTGGGCAGCGTATCCGGGGTGAGTTGGCCAAGTCACGGGCCAGGGCGTGCGCGGGACCTCTGAGAGAAGTGGCGCTCGCGGCCCGCCACCCCTCAGCGGCCCAAGTCTTAGGAGAGCCGAGCGACCGGGGGCTTTAGCGCCGGTGGAGGGACGCCGGGGGATCCCGGGACGAGCCCGGAAGGGTGCCGCCTGTTGGAGCGAGCGAGGGGCGGCTGCGTCGCAGAGGCCGAGGCTGCGGAGGCGGCCGCCGAGCCCAGCAGGAGCGAACTGCTAACCGGCTTTCCTGACTCAGAGCGGAGGGAAGGATGACTCCCAGGTCTCCTCTTTGGCCCATGTCTGCCTAGGTACCCTGCTCTCTGGTGCTGAATGCACCTACCTATCCCTTCCTAATGCTCCCAACTCCTCCCATGCCCCTTCCTTCCCCTTCCTCTCCTGACTCTGGCCTGGGAAGCATAAGTCACCTGTTTACGTTGCACCAGGCTAGTTCAGCTTTTGGACTAGGAGGCTAAGACATGGCGTGGAGACACCAAATAAGCCTTCAGCCTGATTAAATGTAATATGCTGTCACTACCTAAGTAAGGAAGTGTTTACACTAAAATGGAATTTGGATTTATTTTTGTTTGTAAGTATACTTACAATAACCATCTTTAATTGGTATAGCCAGAGATCATTAATTTGTATGCTAGCAGCTAGCTTTAGCTGATATTTATTTTGCTGTCATTATGTGCCTAGCACTATTCTAGCAAGGCCTGTAACATGGCAGGCCCTGAAATCCAGCCCTGACTCCTTTTGTCCCACCCCACCCCCACCTTAGAGAGGGCTGGGGCAAGTGGGAAATGAGGACTTTTTTTTTCCCCAATTTACTTAGACGTTTAACGTGTGATAGTACCGACCATATAGCTATATAATATCCATTAATATTTTACCTGCATTAACTCATTTAATTCCCACAGGCTCACTATTTCATAAGTAAAAGTACGCGCTGTTAGCATCCCCCTATTTAGAGGAGGAAACTGAGGCACAAGAGATGAAATAATTTTTACCAAGGTTGCAGAGAAGTGAGTGGCAGATCCAGAATTCCAACCCGAACCTTAATCTCTAGACCACATTACCTGTGCAGGTCCCCAGCAGACACCCTAAACCCCAAGTGAGGGAGACCTCAGGATGCCATGCTCTTAAGCATCTGGACAGGGATAAGCAATGGGCCTGTTCTCAGTCCTGCGTCATGCCCCCATTGAGACTGTGGAGTACTGGAGCCTAGAACCCCTGGTGCTTAGGTAGCGGTGTGCCTAAAAGGGCATGGACAGCCTCACCTGGGCTTTCTCACGGAAGCCGTGTTGCCAGTGCTCAGGGTGTCGCATTACTGTGGGAAGTCGGACCTCATCCTTTCAGGTCTGAAGATACAACACCCCATGACTATTGAAAATAAGAGTCCAAATACCACTGTTCACCCTTCAGGGCACCTTCCTTCCAAGTCCTACAGGGCCTGAGATGCCCAAGCAATTATCCAGGCTTCTCTGTGAAAATAAAGTCCATTTCTTCCAAGAATGGTGAAACCCAGTGTTCCACAGCAAAAAACAGTCTTTGTTTAACCAGAATACAAACCACTCCCAGATCTGTCTGCCTCTCACCATTCATCATATGGCTAGCCATTCAAATGTCAATTCCTAGCAAATTTCTCCTGTTGCTTGCTATCTTGGCCACAACCTAAATTACATCTCCTTTCTACTCTCTATAGCTCCCTGCGCTTTTCTTTATAATAATATGACTTGTGATGATGTATTTATTCACTTAATGTCTCTCTTCTTTGACTAGATCCTTAGCTCACCAGGCCAGAGAATACAGGAGGCCGCCCATCCCCTCCGCTCCAGTGCCCAGCATCAATGATCAGTAAACATAATAAGTGAACACCTGGCCCTGCACTAGCCAGCACAGGGACCCTGGATAAACTGCATCCGTATTTTTTCTGATCCTTAGTCTTATCTGTAGAATGAGCTAGGAAACAACAATTTAGGTCACAATTTCTGCAGGGTCCAGCCTTGCTCCAAGCTTTCCTATAGGTGAATCTATCCATCCATAGTCATTAATATTAACTAATATGTCCTCAACCAGCTGCAAAGTGAGGACCTGCTGTTCTTTAATGAATGTTGCCTGCCCTCCTCTATGCCTCTCAGTTGGACACCCCACTCAGGGAAGTCTCCCACACCATCAGAGTATGCCCCTGCTAAACATGTCTTCCCATCCTGGAGGAAATAGGACTTCATTTTTCTCAGCTGGTTGTTAGTAAAGCATCTTATAAACTCCTTCTCACTGAACTGCAAGTAGCTGATAACAGGGTATAAGCATGGAGCCCAGTAAGAGCTTGTCAAGGGCAGATTTGTTATTCATTCAGCAGACCTATTGGGTGCCTTGTTGATGAGCAGCACCATGACTCTGAGGAATATATAACATTTGTAAAACACTTACTGTGAGCCAGCATGTGGTCAGGCACATCACATACATTCTTATTTCAACTGTAAAACCACGGGACCGGTAAGAGCAGATGAGGACACGTAGGCCCAGAGAGGCTGCGGAGCCTGCCCCAGGTTTCCACAGGGGCAGAGCCAGGACAGGACAGGAGTCCAGGTCTGTCTCTCCCTGATGGCCCACAGGCACAGGCACAGGGGCTCAGAGCTGGGGAAAGGGTATCCAGAGCTGATGGTAAATTTCATCAGAAAAGGCTTAGAACATCTCATTGCTCTTAAAATACATCATGCAAATAAGATTTTACATTTTTCTCGTGAATCTCAGATTTTAAAGTGACACATAATTTAAAAATAACAGTGCGAATGAGAAAACACAAACTTAAAAGGAGACAGAAATAAAACCAAAGACATAGCAGTTATGTCATCAACATTATGATATGGTCAAAACTTTGAACATAAGTCAGTCAACAGGCTCGTGATTATTAGGAAGAAAGGTTAACTCAGAGAAATAATGAATGTCTCTCTTGGGTTAAATTTGGGTGTGGTTAATGAACATTAATGAATGTTAATGAATTTGTCACCTGCAGTCCTTAGCAGGCACATAGATGTGTGCTGAGCTTGATGATGTGCGTGAAATTTGACCCAAGTTGCAGTCCCTTTGGGTCCCGTCCTCTTTCCAAGTTCAGAGTCTGCTACCGGGAGAGATGTTTAAATCATGCTTCTCAGTTTTTTTTCACTATTTCAGAAACTTTGAGCTTTATGTAGTAAGCAAACACAGACGGAATAGACACGGAGGTCTTTACATGAGTTTCTTTCTTTACAGGTGTCAGAATATGGCTCCCAACTTGGACTCAGGAAAGAAACTTTTCACTTTCTTAGGAAAATCAGTAATTGCGCTTCTGGAGTCTATAATTTTTGCCTTTATTCCAAAGCCACGGAAGAATGTTGCTGGTGAAATCGTACTCATAACAGGTGCTGGGAGTGGAATTGGAAGGCTCTTAGCCCTCAAATTTGCCCACCTTGGAGCTGTGCTTGTTCTCTGGGATGTCAACAAAACAGCGAATGAGGAGACGCTCAGGATGACTCTGAACGCTGGAGCCTCAAGAGTCTATGCCTATACCTGTGACTGCGCTCAAAAGGAAGAAGTGTATAGAGTAGCTGATGAGGTAAAACAACACAATACCAACAAACTTACACTCATCCCAGGATGACTGTTTGCCAGCAATAGTTAAACATATAGTTAAGTCACATACCATTAAACCTGATCTTTTTTCTCCCTAACGTGGCAGAGGCTGAATACTCGTGATCGCTTTCCATGCTTAATTTAAAGGAAAAAAGTACACTTGGGAGCAAGGTAATCCTTAAAAATAAAAAGGTATCTCTATATACAAAATAGATAAATCAATAGGGAGAAAAATTATTCACATGAAAAATCCTGTCAGAAATGCTTAGTCAAGTACATTTCAAGTATGAATCATAAATAAAAAAATTTTTAAAGATTATATTTAGAGAGAGAGGGGGGAAGGGAAAGAAACATCAGTGTGTGGTTGCCTCTTGAGCGCCCCCTACTGGGGAACCTGGCTCATAACCCAAGCATGCCCTGACTGGGCATTGAACCAGCAGCCCTTTGGTTCATAGGTTGGCACTCAATCCACTGAGCCATACCAGCCAAAGCTAAATATACAATTTTTATATACTGCAAAGATGCAAGCCATGGATAATAAAACCCACAGTGCCTACCTTGAAATCGAAGTCTGATGTTTATCCTATCAAGAGTATGATGGCATTCTCTATTCATAGGAGAGGTGACTGTGGAACATATATCCCTGTTTATTTCTCTTAGATGTAACATCTAGCTTGGCCATCCTGACTCTGAGCTAGGACATCAGCCTCTAATGCTACTGCTGTCTTCCAGCCCACAGACCTATCCAGATTTTGATCCTGCCTTTGGTAGGGCTTACCTAGTTGTTTCTAGCCTTGCCTGCTGTTCAACTTAGATTTGACAATATATATTTAACCACTCTCCAAATCAGACTTTGTTAGATTGTTTCCAGTGCTTTGATCTGAAAACTCTAACATGGAATAAGAGATTTCCTTTGTCTCGATTTCATCTGAAGTTTTTCCTAGGCTACAGACCTTGTTGGCTAGTGAATACCTAACACATGTCACCCCCATTGCTGGGACCCACCCTCCCCTGCACCAAACCATACCATCCCTTCAGGCAGGCGCACACACATGCAGGCATGCACATACATATACACAGAGACAGAGCTGGAGATGTCAGCAGTATTGTTACGAGCGCCCTGGTAGCACTTGGCGACTGCAGCCAGTGCTTTTCTTGGATTTGGGGGACAGGGTCCCTGATGTGTGGTACAAATTATAGTAATGAAATTTAAACCACAGTGAGGAACAAAGGGGCAGCACCATCTCCTGGTGTCAATCTGGGAAAATCCTGTGCTTATTTCTCACATGAGAATCAAGGCCATATTGTGGGCAGCAATAGGTGAAGATAGGCTCTAAGGGGAAGCCTCTCCAATGCCCCATGCAAAATTTTTATTTCTTAAATAAAAAGTTATTGAATACATACTCTGGCCAGTGTTGTAGTAGCAAACGGCCCTGTTCCTCTTCGCAGATCTTATGCCTAGAACTTGGTGGGAAGAAGAAGGAAACCGGCCAGTTTATTAAAAACAGAGCAGACAGGCTCTGTATGTTCAAAGCACGGATATGAATATCATACATCCTCCATTCACTCCCTACGCTGCCCAATCTCTATGTGTGCTAGGTCTTGATTTATATGACATGGTTATAATGGCATATGCCCCATCACATTGATTAAAATGATATGCTACTTAGAACATAGAATAAAGTTACTATTCACTGAAGATAAGAATAGCTCTAAATCTAGAAGGAAAGCAGCACTGCAGTGTTGGGATTATCATAAGAAAGGAAGAAATGAGAAGAAAAATGTCAAACTTGGATCTCTGATGCACTGTACAGTCAGCAAAGGAAATAAAACACAGTTTTCAGACTGCATAAACTCTGTCTGCATTAACAAGGATTAGAGGCATATAAAACTGGGGGGAAATTAAACTTAGATCATAGAAGGAGTTACTACATGATGGTGTTGGTCTTGTTATTCAATTCAGGTTAAAAAAGCAGTTGGTGATGTTTCTATCCTAATCAACAATGCTGGCATCGTAACAGGCAGAAAGTTCCTCAACTGCCCAGATGAGCTGATGGAAAAGACTTTCGATGTGAATTTCAAAGCACATTTATGGGTAATTATTTTTTTCTTCTAGTAAATATTATCCTCTAAATACAACATAGTTTTCTCAATTTTAGATTATCCTGGTCTACCCAGTTAGCTTCTCCTCATCCAACTTAACCCACACCGGCCATAGCCTCTGTTCAGGGACTCCTACAAAGACACTACCATTTATTCATTGCCAAGACTATCGTAGGTGCCTCAGTAAGATAAGGAATCACAGAAGTTAAAAGATTTTCTCAAGGCTATACAGCATGTGACACCACTTAGACATGACCGGGGTGACCTTATCATTTGCGTAAGCTGGAACTCTTTTGAAAGTGAAATGGGGCATTCTTCATAAGCAAACATTAATCATATCTGTTTTGGGCAAACCATTCATTCAGTTACCTGACTCCGTACCTCACCAGGGAAAGGAGAGTTTCTAGCAGTAGCGCTAGTGACTGACTACATGCTGTGAACATTAAGGGACACAGCCGCTGACGCCCAAGATGAAGTGCCCAGTTTCAAAAGTTGCATTTTCTTGGCTGTTGCTGAAACCAGTCATGTCAGGCCTCCCTGTACCTTGCACATCTCCTCATTCCGTCTTTTGCAGCACATAGTCATTTTGTTCCCCCCACACTCACAGCTCGTCATTCTGTGGGCCAGCTCTCCTTCAGAGAAGAGGTACATGCTGGGGGTTTCTGAGATCCCCTCCATTCTCACACCTCTCCTCATGGACCTCCAATCAACTCTCCTTTGACAGCTTTTGGATTTCATTTGGAGCCTTGGCCTGGTGGTTCATTTGGTTGGAGCATTGTCCTGTACACCAAAAGGTTGCAGGTTTGACTACACATCGGGGCCCATACCTAAATTGCTGGTTTGATCCCTGGTCAGGGTGTGTACAGGAGGTAACGAATCAATGTTTCTCTCATTCTCTCTATCACTCACTCTTCCCCACCCCCCTCCCCGCCCCCCGCCCCCCCACCCCAAAAATCAATAGACATGTCCTCGGGTGAAGATTTAAAAAAATGTTACTTGGAGTTTCTAGGTTTTCTGGCCCCTAGTTTCACCAAAACTGTGACAGTGCTGGTGGTGTTCTCTTTAGTTTTCAGGAGAAAGATGGAAAGATTTAGAACTAAGTGGCCACCATGCTCCTTCAGAAACTACTGCAAGTGATTTATGTTGTCCCAAATGCCCCTCTGCTTCACTAGAATGAAGTAAAAATATATGGTCAGAATGAAGGTAAAGACAATGTCCTTAAAAGTCTCCACTCCTATCGCTTTCATATTTTTTTCCCACCTCTCTGCTTTCATGGTCTCCTCTTTCTCTTCTTTCTCTCACTCCTCTAGATGTTCCTTAAATACCTAGGTTTCCCTGGCGCTTGCCCGTCCTTCATGTCCTCTCACTCTGTACACTTTTCCTGGGCAACTCTTGTACATTCTTTGAGCACCTGCATGGAGTAAGCATTTACTTGCTAGAGAGTCAGAGAGCACATGGTGCTAAGGGTCCAAAGGGGAGCGTCCCCAGGGAGAAGTGAAGTGACTCATAGCAGAAGCCAGGGTGTTTCACCGTGCTGCTGTTTTTGATTTTCCACCTCTCTCTACATGTTGGGTTCTCTCTGAAACTCATTATGATGCAGACAAATAAAGGTTGGTTGACTTTTATAAGAGATCCCTTTTCTCATATTTTTTCATATTAGGAAACAAATATTTGTTAAATATTTCTTCATTGTGGACTGTATCTCCCGAAGCCCATTGCACTCTTTATCTTTTTTCTCCATATCCCACATCAAAAGTGAAGACATCCTGTAGTCTTCAGACAGAGCATACATCCCCTCTTTCTAATAGATCATCTGTTTTTATGACACAAAATGATATTAAGAAACCATTGTTCAAAGAAGTAGAGATAAATTTTAAAACACAGTGGTATTTTAAAACTGAAACCAACAACAGTATGTCCTGTGAACACTATTCAGAAAAATTTGAAATTCAAATATGATCCTGGGGGTGGGGAACAATATATACCAAAATAACATTCTTGATTATAAACTAAATAATCATATATTTTCCTTTCTGGATTTTTGGCTGCCACAACTAAGATTCTCCTGTACTACTTCACTTGTTGTCTTGATAATGTGTTTTTTAAAAGTCACATATGACTTATGGGACCAAAACCAAGAGCTCTTGATTCTGTGGGCTAAGACTGAAGTTTTCCGTAGGATGTAATAGACATCTATAGTGCTATGTTTTCCTGAGGAGATATAACATAAAAAGTAATAAAAAATAAACGTCAAATATAAGCAAAATATTAGTCTTAATAAATGATTTATAATAATATTGGTATACCATGGGAAAATATTGACTTACAAGTTAACATGGTTATCCTCCAGATGTTTAAGTTTTTATATCCCAGAGCCTTCAGGTATTTTTTATGAGCTTAAAAAATTTTTTTTAAATCACTATGATTACATAAGTATCTGAAAACATATAAAATGTATAAAGTATTAAAAGTTTTACTTTGCTCTTCTTAGACTTATAAAGCCTTTCTGCCTGCTATGATGGCTAAGGACCATGGACATTTGGTTTGCATTTCAAGTGCAGCTGGATTATTTGGAATAAGTGGACTGGCAGGTAAGAAAAATATAATATTTCACATTTGTACTTTTCTCTTTTTTTAATTATATTTTATATATTATGCTATTACAGTTGCCCTCTCCACCCAGTACTCCCCACTCCCTCAGGCAATCCCCACACCTTTGTTCATGTCCATGGGTCATGCATGTAAGTTCTTTGGCTTCTACATTTCCTATATGTTCCTTTACATCCCCATGACTATTCTGTACCTACCAATTTGTGCTTCTTAATCCCTTCACCTTTTCACCTATTCCCCCTCTACTCCCACCCCTCTGGCTGCCATCAAACTATTCTCTGTATCTATGATTCTGTTTCTGTTCTGCTTATTTGTTTAGTTTGATTTTTTAGATTCAATTTTTGATAGGTATGTGTTTATTGCCATTTTATTGTTCATAGTTTTGATCTTATTTTTCTTAAATAAGTCCCTTCAACATTTCATATAATAATTGTTTGGTGATGAACTCCTTTAGATTTTTCTTGTCTGGGAAGCTCTTTATCTGCCCTTTGATTCTAAATGGTAGCTTTGCTGGATAGAGTGATCTAGGTTGTAGGTCCTTGCTTTTCATCACTTCAACTATTTCTTGCCAGTCCCTCCTGGCCTGCAAAGTTTCTTTTGAGAAATCACCTGATAGTCTTGTGGGAGCTCTGTTGTAGGTAACTACTTGCTTGTCTCTTGCTGCTTTTAAGATTCTCTCTTTATATTTAACCCTTAGCATTTTGATTATGATGTGTCTTGGTGTAGGTCTCTTTGTGTCCATCTTTGTTTCGGACTTTCCATGCTTCCTGAACTTGTATATCTAGTTCCTTCACCAAATAAGGGAAGTTTTTTTTTTTTTTTCATTATTTTTTCTAACAGATTTCCAGTTTCTTGCTTTTTCCCTTTTCCTTCTGGCACTCCTATGATGCAAATGTTGGAATGGTTGAAGTTGTCCCAGAGGCTGCTTACACTATCCTCATTTTTTTTGGCGGGGTCGGGGGGGGGATTCTTTTTTCTACTTGCTATTCTGGTTGCTTGATTTTTGCTTCCTTATGTTCCAAATTACTGATTTGATTCTCAGCTTCACCCACCCTACTGTTGATTCCCTGTTGACTGTTCTTTATTTCAGTTTGTGTCTCCTTCATTTCTGGGTCTTTTTATGCTGCTGAGGTACTCAGTAAGTTCCTTGAGTGTCCTTATTACAAGTGTTTTGTACTTTGCATCTGAAAGATTGCTTACCTCCATTTTTAGTTCTTTTTCTGGAGTTTTCTTCTGTTCTTTCATTTGGGCCATCCTTCTTTGTCTCCTCATTGTCAGCCTCTCTGTGTTTCTTTCTATGTATTAGGTAGAGCCTCTATGACTCCCTGTCTTGATAGTGTGGCTTAATGTAATAGGCGCCCTGAAGGGTTCAGTGGCACAGCCTTCCCTATCACCCAAGCTGGGTATTCGAGGTGTGCCCTCTGTGTGGGCTGAGTACACCCTCCTCTTGTAGTTGAGCCTTGACTGGTTTTGGCAGATCAGTGGGAGAGATTTAGCCAGGCCAGTCAGCTGCAAGGACTGGCTGTGACCACTGACCATCAACTTCTGCCCTCATGGAGGATCAGCTGTGCAGGGGCCCACTCCACAAAGCCCAGCTTACATCAGCAGGGCCCTGGTGCCCCCTTGTGTTCTGTCTGGGGCCACTTGACACAAGCTATAATGTGATCAGCAGCTAACTGCTTCTTATGCTGGGCTTGGAAGTGCCGTAGTGAGACCAGGCTGTAAACCAAGGCTGCTAGTGCCAGGTTCACACTTAGCAGCCACTTAGGAGCCACTTAGCAAGGTATGAGGGCTCACTGAGGCCAGGTACCACTTGTTTGAAAGGATTTAGGAAGATCAAAAGCATGAGCCAAGACAAGGCATTCATACAGAAAAGCCACTGTTAACTGCTTGGGTGGGTCCATAAATTGGGTGGGGCAGAGTCTCAGGGAATCACCAGGGTGGGGCAAACAGTGTGAGCCAGGTTGACAGAGTCTCAGATATGGTGCCCACTGTGGCCCTGTGGGGGAAGGGCTCAGAAGAGGGGCAATGGCCTCTGCCAGCTGTTCTGTCTTGGAGAAAGCTGTCCCCCAGCTCTTACCCTGGTGCCAGACACTTCAGTTCCTCCCTTTATGCCACTGTTGCCTTTTAAGCTGCTGCCCTGGTGCTGGAGCTCAGCGGGAGTGAGTCTGAGTAAGTCTGAGTACAGGCCCTTTAAGATAAGCTGCCTGGAAATCTAGCAGTTTCTACCACTGACTTAATCTCCATTGGTTTTTACAGCCAGAAGCCACAGGGACTTATTTTCCTGGCACTGGAACACTGGGCCTGGGGCCTTGGTGTAGGTCTGAGACCCCTTGCTCCCAATATCACTTTGATTTTTCTTGGCCACACATAGGTGTGTGACCAGCCCATGTCACATGTCAGCATCTCTGCCCCTTCTATCAGTCTGGATGGACATGGTTTCTTCTTTAATTTCATGTTTTCAGGGCCTCCATTCAACTCGATTTCTGGCAGTTCTGAGTGATGACTGTTGTAAAGTTTAGTTGAATTTTTTTTTATATGGTTGTGTGAGAAGCCAAGCCATGTTTACCTTTGCTGCCATCTTGGAGGTTAAACTCTCATAACATTCCTTATTAATTTCAATCTGGAGAAATTTAACACTATGGCAGTAGCATCCAAGCTTCCATAGCTGGTAGACTGTGCTGCTAAGATTCAAACCTCTACCTGCAGTCCACTTCCAGGGTCCAGGCAATTAGAAATGGGCAGAACAAAGACAGTCAGCAAGGTACAGAAGGTCAGCAGGTCAGAAAGCTCCACATGCCTTGCAGTGGGCAAAACTGGAGAAACAAGGACCTTGCCCCCAGTAACCTTTCCTCCCCTAGCAAATCCACTGGTCATGCAGTTTGGGTCCTCCACAGTTACACTTTTCTAATTTTAACTTATGTAATAGCTGTGAGGAATCAGCTTTGACTTGCACCAATAATAAAGATAATAAATTAAGAAATATATTCGGTAAGGGAAGTGGTTGAGAACTAAGTAGTGCTTCAAAACTGCCCATGAGCAAGTCAAGGAACATATAGCAAGGACTCATGGACAAAACCAAAGTGGGGAAGGATTGAGGGAGGGAGAGAAGGGAGAGGGCAGGGGAAAGTGGTGGGGGGAAGGCAGAGACAAATGTATTTGGAAAAATAATATAATAAAAATAAATAAATAAACAAACAAACAAACAAACAAACAAATAACTGCCCATGAGATAATACTTACCCAGAGTGAAGTATGCACTTTGGAGTCATTAGGTCTTATGCAATACCCTGGGTTAAAGAGAAAGAGAGAGACTTTACCGGTGAACGTTTCACAGGGGTGAGTAGCATAGTCATCGTCTCCCAGATCGCCAGGCACTGTCATCAGGATGGTGAGGATGACCGCTCTGCCTTCTGAAGTCTCCCCCTGCTGTCAGTTTGGAGACAATTTCTCCACGCCAAGAAACAGCTTTACCTCTTTGCATTTCCACGGGTTGGAAGACTTGCACAAAGTACTTGTCATTTCTATCTCCCTTGCAACTGACTTGGCATTAGCAGTGGGGAGGGGGCAAAGAGATACACCAAGATCCTTGCTGAGGGTGGTCCAACTCAGGAGCCAGCTCTAGGAGGAGCAGAGATCTTGTCCTTCCTTACCAGGATATCCCCTGGGGCAACGTCCCATGCACTGACAGACACACCCCTGAGACTCACGCATCAGAAAGCCTATCTGCAACACTCGGTTAACTTTGGCCAGCTTGCCCATTGGACACTTCCTTATACTTTTGAGGTGAGCCGCATAGTTCAATATTCACATAACCAGTCTAAGCACAGTTCATCTCAGTTATGTGAATAGGTTTTTCAGAACCACCACTCACCCAAACTATTACCTGTCCATACATATCTCCCTGTAACCTGGACTTCCGTTCTTCTGTCTTCTTAAAAATCACCACATATTAGTATTACCTCTCTCTTATAAGTCTGATAAATGATGAAACTTTGAAATAATACAGGTATATTTACAGCTTCTGTTAATCCTTTTTCTGACACAGTACCTCTCTCTCTTCAGCTGGACTCTTCCACCCACAGCCGACCTTAGAAACAAGTGTAAACCTTTTGTAATTTCCACTGTAGAGGCCCTGGCTCCACTATATCAGAATCACCAAAATCGTTATTTAGAATGCAGTTTCCTTGTCCTGGGCCACACACGCTCGTCGTAACCTTAGGGGTTGGGGGACTCGAGCTGCATATATATCAAATGCCCTGATGATCCCCGAAGCTGGTCAGGACTCCTCTCGCCTCCGCTTCCATGGTCTTACCCACCGCCTGGGCAGCAGTGGGCCTGCCAGCCCCGCACCCAGCACTTGCAGCCTGGTCCTTGCCAGCTGTGGCAGCCGCTTCTAAACACAGCAAGTGCGTATACCTCATTGGGCTGTGTGAGGTAAAGGAAAGTAAAGAAGTCCACATAATGCCGTTTCTACTCCAGACTTTTCCATTCAGTGAACTGAATATTCAGGTGTTTACTGGAAGAGAAAATGATTGCAGACGGCAAGCTCTGAGCTGCGGGTGTCCAACCTGCAGCCTGTGGGCCGCATGCATCCCAGGACGGCTGTGAATGTGGCCCAACACAAAATCATAAATTTACCTAAAACATTTTGAGGTTGTTTTGCGATTATGTGCTGCAATGTATTTAATGTGTGGCCCAAGACAACTCTTCTTCTTCCAGTGAGGCCCAGTGATACCAAAGGTTGGACACCCCTGCAAACTGACATAAATGACACTTTCCACTCCCCCTGCATTTTTAAGATATTTAAGAGGTTGGGATTTAAGCTACTGACTCCTTTGTTTTTCTTCTGAAAGGAGAAGGAAGAGTTTAGTAAGGAGAAAATTTCGTCTGAGTATGAGGACCCACGCTGCCCGCTCTTGTCTAGCCTCCTACATTATTTATAGGATTTCTTCTTTAGTGTGTCTCCCTGACCTGGTAGGGTTGAAGTTCTTTGGATGCACACACCACGTGCCCCACAGAACAGCTAGCCCACTGTCTGACTGTTCATTAGCGTGAAAGTACTGGCTAGCAATGTGACCATAAGAGGCCCCCTGCACATGCATTCTCTGTTGGTTAGTGTTATGAGGAGACCTTAATGTAATGCCATTTTTAAAACTTCAGAATATACATCAGCATTGTTTGTTTTTTTCAGATTACTGTGCAAGTAAATTTGCAGCCTTTGGATTTGCTGAATCTATATTTATGGAACTATATTATCAGAAACTAACGGGCATCAAAACTACTATTGTGTGCCCATTTTTAATAAAAACTGGAATGTTCCAAGGCTGTACTGCTAGGTAAGTATGTCCTGTAATTTCAAAGAAACCGCATTTGAAAAAGTAATCAGTTTTCTATTTTATTTTCTTCTACCTCTTTTTTAAAGTTGTGTAAAAAGATATATTTTGAGGATTCAGCCGGATTTATAAATGGCTTCAGAATTTCTGTTTTACTCAAATGTTCTTGAATTTAAAATATTGAGTTTAATGCGAATCACCTATCAAAGCTGTGTCCCACTCGTAGCCACCTTATAGCCTGAATCGGCTCACCCATCTCCCCAGTACTCAGTCACATTTCCTTTTTGTCACTTCGGTTCCTTCTGTCCTCTTCCCTGATTCCATGGAACTAGAAATCATTGAAGGGACACAAATGCCCCGTTCTGCATCTCATGGAGATGATAGGAAATTAGTTTGCTTTATAATTAGACCACTTGTTTTAGTATGGTTTTACATGTATCATACTGTACATCAGTGTATTAATTAGGATCGCTTTCCATAGTTTGCATATCATGTTTTAGTTATTACCATGGTGATAATAAGGGAATAAATAGATCAAATCTGGAAGCAAAAGAAGCAAATAAATCATAATGTCGTACAACCTTTTTCTCCTCAGTATGTAAGAATTGTTTTTATTAATTTGTTGACTTTGGATTTTTTTGTTTGCTTGTTTGTTTACCTTCTAGCTGTCCTTTACTATTACCAATTATGGAACCAGAATATGTAGCCGGAAAGATAGTAGATGCTATCCTGGAGGAAAAAACATACTTGTGTCTACCAAGATTTATATACTTCATGCTATTTTTAAAAAGGTAACTATCAGCTTCTATGACCTCTCCAATGTATCAGTCAACAACTTATCCTAAATCCTACCAGAAGAAGCCACTTAAAAATTATCCATTAAGTGGATAAATTCTGATTCCTTCCTTGTGCCCATTTGCTGAGATAATAACAAATGTGCATAGTTGCCATGCCTCCCGGGGATCTAGAAAATGGAGCTGGATCCTGCCAGCCATCTTAGCGTTGTTGTCAAAAAGAAGCGAATTCATGCATGAGTTGGGGGGAAAAAGGGCCATGAAGCTAGAAGTCAGGAGATCTGATACTTCTGGTTTGGCTACTAACTTCTGTTTGACCTCAAAGGAGTCATTAATGTCTTTGTTCCTCAATTTCCTCACCGTATCACTATAAGGATCAAACAAGATATCATGAAAACACTTTAAATATCAGCAAACTGGCTTATTTAAAAGGTATCACATGATTCTAACATCACAAATTCCCTACTGCAACAAAAGTGTTCAAATCAGAAAAATTTCTGCGACCTGTGGTTCTTTTATGGAAACATTAAAAAAAAATAATAATAAAGAGCCTAGGTGAGTATAAGATTTTCATTTTAAAGGAAGACACTTCCATAATATACGATAAGAGATTTCTGAAGAAAAATAGAAACTTCTTTGGAGATTTAGAATTTAAATTGTCACCGCTCTATTTGAATTTGAATTTCAGATGCCAGAGATTCTAGTGAATACCTAGGTAGCATTAGGGGAAAAAAAATGCACATCTATTGTTGCCTCTATTTTTTTATCTTTTCAGAAAAAAAGTTGTTTTTATAAAGTTGAAAGCTATTTAAATGCTTTTTTTAAAAGGCTTCCTTTTTCCTTCCCTGGGTGTACATGTGTGCAGGCCACCTAGCAACACAAGATGTGTATCTGATCGCCCCTGCTATCAACAACTGAGTTTCCTATAGCCTTTAGATCAAGAATCAAATATCCTAGGCTAATGATTCTCAGCCCTGGCTGCTATACCTGGAAGATGTTTTTAAAATGCCTCTAACTAGTCCCTCCTCTAACTGATTCAGAATCTTTGTGGGCAAGGCCTGGGTTATAATTTTATAAAAGCCATGTAGTCAGACTTTGGCCTCTCCAGTCTCATCTGCCACCACCCTCCCTCTCCCTGCCTCTGCTCAGCCTTCCAGCAGAGTCCTTGGCCCTGGACACGCCCAGGGCATTCGCACAGGCTGTGCCCCCTCTTGGCTTAAGCACTCTTTCCCTGACTTCCCAGAATATCCCAAATGGCTCCGATGCACTTTCTCCCAGTGCTGGACCTTGGCCTCCTTTGTACATTGCACAGCTGCATTGCACATTTATTCGTGAGGTCTCCCCACGGGGTCATGAGTTCCTTGAGATTAGAGACAAGTCTGTTTCTGATCACCATTGTGCATTTTCAGCTCCAGGGAAGGGCCTGACAAAAAAGGAGGCATTTAAAACTAATAGCAAATGCGGTAAATAAATGACAGGATGGAAGATGATTCAATATTCTGGGTCACAAGTGTTAAGAGATCAGAAATATATATATTTTAAAAAGTCACGTGTAAATCTAAGGAAGTATTGTTATGAGCGCCACTTTATCTTAGCTACAGCTCTCTCAGCCGCACTTCAAAGACAAATACCATTTGGAACATAAAATTACAGAACTAATATAAAAAAATTTTAAGAGTGGAACACTGAATGATCTGTGGAAAAATAGAAATTATTATTTTTTAGGAGAGATGCTGTTTCTTATGCTAGTCATGGGATAGTGATGTCAGAGTAACTCTTGTGTTCATGCTCACCTGAGCACAGGGCCCAAAGTCAAGAGCAGAGACATAGCCAAATATTTTGGGAAATTGTGGTATGGGTAAAACTGGTAATAGAGGATAAATTTGTGCTGTACGATGGTTAAAGAACTTGAGGGGGAAAACCCTGAAAAGATAGCCACCTCTTAAAAGTGCATGACAACACCTTTGCCCCTCCGCCTCTGCCTTCCATTGCAATTCACTGCTGAAGTACCTCACCTGGCATTTATGAACATTTACCGAGTTACAGGAACAGCAGTGCTCAATTGCCTGAAGCAACTGCTGATTCCCAGTTCTCAGTTCATTTTCTAGACCGTGACAGGACATCTTGTTATCCTTCCCCCTCATAGAGATTTCTGCTTTGCAAGGAAGCATGTTCAGTTATTGAACTACTCCCCTCTGAAGAGCTGAAATCTGTCTCGTTTTAAACTTCCAGAGATTCCATTGCTTTGACAGCAACAATTGTTTAGTTTTTTGAACATAGATCTCATGCCTTATGTCCACCGCATGGGTAGCAGCCATTGCTCTTCTTGCGTAAGCAAATGTCTTTCCTCTTTAGCTAATTGTATCTACTTTGTGCAATGAACCAAAAATTGTTCTTACATCCCTTTCCATCTTCATGCTTCACCCAACACAGGAGTGCTGACTGATAGGGCTGACCAAGGCCGTGTGGGCAGGGCAAAAGGTCTCTGACGAGGAGACTGAAATCTGGAGTTAGAGTCCTGCTGTTTACTAAGACTGTGACTCTGAGCATGGGTCACATTCTTTATTCTCTGGGTCCAGTTTCCTCATTTACGATGTAGGAGTCAATGCTTGTTACAGCTTGTAAGTGAGTGAATGTTGTGTGTCATGACTTTGCTGGGCAGTGTGTGTGTTAACAGTACAAGGGCTACACTTGCTAATAGCAGTCAGTAATGCCAATTGTAAAGAACATGGGGCTTAAGTTTTCAAATTTTTAAAATAAATATAGCGTTTTTATTCATTCTTATAGGATATTAGTTCTGGGCCCTGGATTGAGAGCGAGCTACCTAGTTTTGAGAAGACTTTGGAAACATGAAGAAGTTCAGTGAAGGGGATCGCATCACATACTCCTTCATATGTTCTCCCCACAAGCATTAGAGAATGCCTGATGTGTGCCATGCATTGCTGACCATCCTAGGATCAGGGGTTACAACAAAGAGCAGGAGAGACAAGTGTCCCTGCCCTTGTGGAAATTATCTTCCTAGAGAGTAGGGAACAGGGAACAAACAAAAAGCAAAAAAGTAAAAAGAAAAAAGTATGCTCTGTGGTCCTAAGTGCTACAAAGAAATATAAAGCATGAAAAGGAAGCCCAAGAGTGTAAGGAACAGGGGTACAAGCTGAGATTTAATTTTCAGTATGGTTCTCAGGGAAGGTCTCATGGAAAAGGTAACATCAGAGACCTGAAGCTGGGGAGGGCGGGAACCACCTGGATTTCTTGGGGTGCCCCCTGAGGGACATTGAGCACAGGTCCTTTACCCCACCCTTAGTTCAAGTCTCATATTGTGCCTGCTCTGTTTACTCTGCCTCTCCTCATCAGAATTGAGGGGGTCAGAGCACTCTGTTAGCAGGGACAGGTGGGGGTAGAGTCGATGAACAGTTTTGGTTAGGTCTCGCCAAAGATTGAGGAGCTACTGCATCTAATTCTCTCAGGAGTACCAGAAAGAAAAATTGATGACTTCATTTTACACTGGAAGAAACTGAGGTTCACGAGCAAAGTAACTTGCCTTAGGTGACATTGTAAATGACAGAGCTAGGTGTCAAGCCAGGCTCATCTCACTCCATAAGACTTCACTGCCTTCTATCAATCACTACATAGTGTAAGGAAGTTTTGGAAATGGACATGAGAAGTGAGTTGAATATTGTAAAAAAAAAAAAAAAAACAAAGAAAGAGACATCTCTATCTGGGCCAGTGTCCTCCCACATAGTAGACAAGCCCAGGGTGACCCTGAGGTGTGCACATTAATTAATGTGTCCGTGTGTGAATTCATCTGTGGCAGGTCTTTGGCACTGCTTTTCAGCTGCCCTGATAAAGATGCTTTTAGGAATAACCGAGAATGTTTACTCTTGTGCTCTCTTTAGTATCTTGCCAACCAAAATGGGACTGCTCTTGTCTGAATATATGAATATCTCTGAGTTAATGAAGGGCTTCGTTGGAAGGAAGAACTAAAGACCAACTCTACGGCTGATGTCATCTAATACCCAATATTACATATTGCTTATTTCAGTGAATAAAAGGGATTTTTGTCTGATAGAGTGTACCTGGAGACTATAAGTACCGTTCTTGTTCTTCCATCTAGACTAGTACTTTCAACCAGTACTTTTGAAAATGCCAGTAACATTGCTATCTGCTTTTGAGTTTTTTAAAATTAATAAAAACAGCTAATGTCTGTCATCTCTGCTTGCAACAGATATGAGAGAGAGAATCCTTCCATGTGATGTGTGTTTAGCTGAAGTGCCCTCTTTCCAGAGGACATAGAACTCTGGATTTCCTTTCGCCTTGCTCTCGGCCTTGGCCTTTTTGAACTTCCTTGTGTCCCCTGATGTAGAAAAAGCCAGCTTTCCGTCTCTGTCTTTCCAAAGAAGCCACACAAATGCTTCTACACATCCTGGATGCTCACAGAGTAAGTGCAGTCCCACTAAAGGTGTATCAGGTGCCATGTGAGGGACTCTTACTGCCCATTCCCCGAAATCCTTCGTAGACAGTGACCATAGGCCAAACTCTCAATGGGATCACAATTTTTTCCTCAAAGAGATCAAAGAATGGTTGCTTCTTACCTTGAAAATGACATACTGAATTACATGAAATGCTACTTATTAACCCAGAAAACATATTCATGTGGTTAATTTCAGGTGTTTAATTTAGTATCAAGTTGGGATTCATGTTGAGGTAGTTTTCCACAGGATGGACAATTTCATGCATTTGTATTCATCAGTGCTACCTTCATTTCAGATTGGTTGCATTCTTACAGTTTAATCAACTGGCCAACTGCTTTCATGCTTTGGAGATTCACCATAAAAACAAGACTAAGAGAAATGTGTTAATTACCATACCCTGGAACGCCTTCCCAGGCTGGATAGGGCACCTGCCTTGCAAGAAAAACAGCAGCCTTTGTCTCTTATCTTCTTTTGTGTGGGGAGCAGGAAAAGATGAGGGTATCTTGGAAGACCCTGTGTGAGTCAAAAAAAGAATGTTTAAACATCTTGGGGGTAAGTTGCTCTTAATGGGGCAACAGGCATGTGGAGTCTGGAATCCACTCTGCACCAGTTTATCTTGAGCTGTCTGTATGATTCTGACAATTCTGCTCCTGTGTTTCCTTTCCATTCCAAAAGTCTTAAAAGAAAAACTTGTTTGATGACAATAAAAGTGATAGCTAATATTTACTCTCCCTGGCATGAAGCTAAGCGCTTTACACATTATTTCGTAAAGCAATAATATTACATCATTACTCAAAGAATAATAAAGCTATTTGGTGTATGCCAAAGAATAAAAGGTGTCTTATTTCACAAGAGCGACATCCTACTCCACTGTAGATGGGTACTGAGAGGATGAAAAGGCCCTCTTCGACTAACTCACTGATGGTCCAAATCCTTGGTTAACAAGGTTAATTAACAGAGAAGCACAATATCGCTCCTATATTACAATTCCAAAAGCGTATATTCTAGGGGCCTGTCTATTTAGTTGAAGAATAAAGAAGAGACTCTTGGGGGATTTAGTAGAACAAAGATCTGGGGCATAGTAGGCATCCACCACTCGTAACAACATTAACAGCAATTATTTCTAATTGGAGAGCATCTTGGCTGGACTATTATAAAGGCCTGAAATTCAATTGTGGTTTTACAGTACCCATAAAATTGTCTAAATAAATTCAGATTTACTTGAAGTACTCCTATGAGAAGAGACCACATGTAAATTAAAGAATTCTAGAGGGTAATAAATAACAAGGTGATTTAATACCACTTGGGAGCAAATGTTCTCAGCATGTGTTTCATACAACTTTCCATCTGACAGTTAACCCTAATGATGCCATGACCAAGAGCCTCAGTAAGCCTTAAGAAATGGAAGGCTAAAGGAAAGGGCTGTATGCCAAGATTGGGCATGGTACCGTCCAGGATGGCATCAGATGGCACACTGTGGTCTCCATGCTGCTCAAGAACTAAGACGTTTTAGTATTAGAAGGAGATTGGGTAAAAATGTGCGACCATGCTCTTCCTGTTCTGTTTAATTGGTTGGTTGGTTTGTACATTGCAGTGTTGTAACAGCTCCAGCTTCCCTTGCAAATTACCACAGACTGGATGACTTAAACAAAAGAAATTTATTTTCTCATAGCTCTGGAGGCTGGAAGTCCAATATCAAGGTGCTAAACTGATTCAGTTTCTGGAGAGAGCTCTCTTCCTAGACTGCATATGTCCCTCTTCCCACTGTGACTTCACGTGGCCTTTTCTCTGTGACCTTGGAGAGAAAGAGATCTGACTCTTCCTCTTCTTACAAGGACACTAATCCCATCATGAGGACCCCACCCCCATGACCTAATTTAACCGTAATCGCCTCCCTAAGGCTCCACCTCCACATATCACATTGGGGGCAGGGCTTCATCATATGAATTTGGGGGATGGGGGAAAATAAACTCCATTCATACTGATAGCAAGACAGAAAAGGAAATCCAGGCCACGGATAAAATCCATACACTCCTCAGTATCCTAATGCTGAGGTGGTCACAGTTTGTCAAATAAAGTCATTCAGAATCTTGGAGGTAGGGAGGATTGGAGATATCTGAAAAGAAACCTAATTCTAACCTCTAAAAGTAAGCACTTGATAGAAACATGACAGAATTTGGGCCACCAAACAAAAGTTGATGGGAAACAAGACATCGCATGCAACATGTTTGCATGAAGAGATACAGTGGCAGTCTAGGCACCTTCAACATTTCCAGGCAGTAACCTATTTTAGGTTTATCCAGGTATCTCCTGGCTCACTTTCCTTCCAAGCTGCTGAACAGTTTCCTTTTGCTTTCATTGAACGGGCCACAGCTGGGCTGGATTCCTTCTTCTTCTTTTTTTTTTTTCTTTCATAAGCTTGCTATCAAATTGGAAAGCAGACAAATCAAAAATACACCAGTAGTTGGTGCTCATCCCTTGGGGAAGCTGTTTGCTGGGTGGTTAGGGTGAAGGCTCTGTCGTCTGTGTCGGTGTAGTACACGTGCACGAAAATATCCATACTGTGGATCGGCACTAACTGAAGCAGTGATGAGGGAGATAGAGCTCAGCTCAATATCATCAATTATTGCTTCAAGGCCTAGGACTTCACTGGTTTGCTTCACATTGGTCTTTATCATTGCATTTTACAAAGGCTACCACAGAAATCACATTGGCCCTCCATGCAAAGCCAGGTGGACCTGTCAGCCGTTGGCTCCTTCTCCTCTTCCCCCTGGTGGCTTTCAGACCTTCTCAAGTCCACCACAGTCACGCCATCTACTCCTTCTCAAGGATAACCTTGTTTCCTTCCTCTTCAAGAAAATGAAGGCTGAAAAATATAAACTCCCTCAGTTCCCCAAACCAATATTTTCAAAGGTACTTATTTCTGCCTCTACCTCCCTCTTTCTCTGCCTCAGAGGAAGCAGTGAAGCTGCTCAGGCCTATCCTGCACCTGTGCCATCCACACAGGGCCTTTCAGGGCCTCCTCAGAGTTCCACTCTGCCCTATCTGCACCATGGGTTGCTCCCCGCATCCTGTAAGCATATGACAGAGTACGTGAAACTTAAAGACAATAAAAATAAATAAGCTTTATAAAAACCTCCATCACACTCTGGCAACAACTCTCCTCTCCATGACTAACACCATTTAAAATTGCAGTCCAGAATAATTTGTTCACTTCCTCATCTCACCCTGACTCCTAAGCCATCCAGCTTCCACCTCCGTCATATCACAGCAATTTTTATAAAAATATCCCTGGAGATTTCATTCTTCTTAATTTACTTCTTATGACTGCTATGATTAACCTCTCTGTCCTTGTTCCTGGTGTCATCTGCCCACTGGCCTCTTCTACTGCTCACTCCTGCAGTTATTAGTGTTCTTAAAGTTTCTCTCTGTGGATTTCTCACTTTCTAGATTGTCTGTGGGGCTCCTAACCCTGCCCACGGCTCTACCTCATTGCTCCCTCCAAAGTGTCCAAGACAGAAACCAGGTGTAAAGCTCCACTTCTGTTGTCACTTCATTTCTTACCTCTCCACTCCTTAGTAATCAGATCCAGTCCATTCAGTCTCTCAACTGTCACCAGCAGGGTGTCCTCACCCTCCCTGCTGCTAGTGCCTTAGCTCAGGCTCTTGTCACCTGATCCCTGCCACTGTAATAGCCTCCCAGCTGGTCTTTGTGCATCAAGACCAGCTTGGTCACTCAGTCAGTGAGAATTACATCCAGCTGGGATACCTGTTAGGAGTTACAGTTATGAGTACATGGAACACAGAGTTTACTCTTGTATTATTATGTATTATTATATTATTTTCCCTATGAACAACTGTAAACCTAATTTTGCCCACTCTTGTACATGCAATGGAAATAGTACTCAGCCATAAAAAAGAATGAAATTTTACCATTTGCAAGAGCATGGATGGAACTAGAGGATATTATGCTAAGTGAAATAAGTCACAGAAAGACAAATACCATATGATTTCCCTTATATGTGGACTCTAAAAAGCAATATAAATGAGCAAACAAAACAGAAACAAACTCATTGATCCAGAGGACAAAATGACAGTTGCCAGAGGGGAGGGAACTTGGGGGAATGAGTGAAAAGGTGAAGAGATTAAGAACTACAGATTGGTAGTTACGAAATAGTCATGGGGATGTAAAGTACACCATAGGAAATAGAGGCCATAATAGTGTAGTAACTATGTATGGTGCCAGCTGGGTAATGGAAATAGCAGGGGAACACTTTGTAAAGTATTTGATTGTCCAACCACCCTCTATGCTATAGAACTGAAATTAATACAAAATAATATTGAAGGTAAACTGTAATAGGAAAAAAAGGTTTTTAATTTAAAAAAATAAATAATCAATTATAAAAACAAAAAGCCTGGAGACCCGGAGGTCTCTGTCCAGGCCAACAGGGTGGACCATAGCATCAGGGACGCAAGCTCCTCTGCACATTTGCTCTGTGCGGCTCACAGACCCAACATCACTGATGAGCACAGTCCTCAATAAGCACTGAAACTTCAGCCATTATGCCCACATTCCAGCCTGCAAGAATCCCCCTCCCCCTTCCCCATCCCCTTCTCTGTGTAGTGAATACTCTCCTGGGACCATATGAAGCAAAGGTTTAAGACAGCGATTTTCCACCTTTTTCATCTTATGGCACACATAAACTAATTACTAAAATCCTGCAACAAAACAAAGAGT